GAAGGACGGAGCAAAGACCATCTCCTTTCGGCCATCACGGCGGAAGAGAAAGCTGACTCCCTCCCGGCATCTGGTGAGTGTAAGCCCTACGGGGACCCATCGCTTCTCCGACACATCATCCCCCAGGATACCATCATCTTGGATATACACATTCAAGTTTTTGCCCCTTTTAGATTGGAGTACTTTTTGGACACTATTTATCCTCAAAGATTAGGACACGTTTATGATACACCACTGCACATCTATCAGTACATCACAGATAATGATAGACGCAGTTATATGTACACTGTAATACAGAAAAAATCAGAGAAAAAAATTACGGACACACGGTTTATTGAAGATTTATTTATTTACTTATTTATTCACATTTATTTATATTTAAGCAATTTTTATTAGTCAATTTACATTGTTGATTTTTGTTTCGTTTATTCACATATCAGTTCAGTAATTTTAATTTCACATAATAAGATGTTCACTTAGAGATATTTATATATTCATAATTTTTATACCACTTATTTAATGTCATTGTTAGATTCTCACTTCACTCCAGGAGACCCATAGCGCTCACTATTCTAAACCCACACCTCAGGTCAAGCCTAACGCATTAACCTGCACACCTCAGATCAGACCCAATGCATGAACCTGCACACCTTAGGTCAGACTCAATGCATGAACTTTCACACTTCAGATCAGGCCCAATGCATGAACCTTCACATCTCACCTTGACACCTCAGATTAGGCCCTGGAGTTGGGCTTAGGGCTTGTTCACACCATCTTCAGACCATCTCCAGACCCTCAGGTGGGATATTCGAGCTCTCAGATGGCTGTGTGTGGTCTCAGATGCACTATGCCGGCTCTCAGGTGGCTATGTGGGGTCTCAGATGCAGTATGCCGACTCTCAGGTGGGCTATGCAGGCTTTCAGGAGTGCTTTGCAGGAAGTGCAGGGGTCTCACCTGGGGTCAGAGGAGGGCAGCGTGCTCTCAGGAAGGAGCCGGTGGAGGAGGATATCTGCGGGTTGGTCCCTGTTTACAGGTGCCAGTGGCTCACAGGAAGATGAGGCAGCGCTGGACCTCAGGGAGCTGGATCTGTCAAAAGTTTTAAAGTGCCAGCATTGGCAATTAGTATCTTGTGCCTATGTGTCAGCTGGCTTGATACCCGGACACAAGACTAAAAAAACGGATTGTCCGGGTGAATCCCACACGGGTGGCAACCCTAGTCTGGGAGCTGACTTGTTGTCGTTGTCAACCCAGGATGAGACTCTGAGTTCTTTTATGAATAGGTGAATGTATTGACCATATAGCAATATTGTCAAAATTGGAGAGATACATGAGTACTCTGCTAAATTGCTCTTACAGTCACAATTTATAGTACAAGGGGCATTGGCCATCCCCCGGCAAGATGAAAAAAAACTTCTATAGTTTTTTTTGGACAAAAAGCTAGAGAGCATTGCCTCAGACAAAGTACCCAATGAACAGGTGTATACACTGAGTGGCCAGATTATTATGACCACCCCATCAGTACTTCGTTGGGCCATGAGATGACTTTGTTGGGCCACCTCGTGACTCCACGAGATGTTGAAAGGTGATGCGAGGAATCTGACACTGCACTGTTGCCCTTCTGTTGTCTTGTACCAGTCTTCCCACTCTCCGTTCTGCCCTAACATTGACTAGTCGCTGACGACCACAATTCGCACGTTCAGACCCAGATTTTCGGCTGACAGTCCAGTCTTTAAACACTTTAACAACAGCTGCTCTTGAACATTTAACGAATTCTGCTGTTTTGCTGATACTCGCTCCATGGCTCCGAGCGCCAACAATCATCCCACGTTCAAAGGCTGTTAAATCACGTTGTTTACCCATATCTTCAGAAAAAAAATCACTTCTACTGTTGTGGTACACAACCTGCTTCCCTATTTATAATGGTCTGGGCCTCTAGCAACTTCAGCTCAAAATTATAGCTAATTATAGCAAATTTGCCTACAAACGTCAGGTGGTCATAATAATCTGGCAAGACAAGAATGATGGTATGTATTTCACCCTTCCACCATACCCTAAAGGTGCCCATACACTGCACGATTCTCGTACGAGAATTGCGGGAAATCCCGCGATCGTACGAGAATCGTGCAGTGTGAATGAAGACGTGCGACCGTTTCTACTATACGGTCGCACGTCTTTTGTCTTTTGGCCATACACTTTACAACCATCAGTCAAAGCCCATGCCCAAGGTCACCTTACTGGAATGTAGAAAGTTTGGTCAGTTAAACAATGGTAAATCTGAAGCAAAGTTCACACAGGTATTGGATGATAAAATCTGAACAACATGGAGCCAAGTAAAGAACAATATTGTATTCTCACACTGTTATTAATATAACCCAACACCTTGGCTCCCAGACCCGAATGCCATTCGGAAGCATTTGTTTACATTTGGCCAAAAGCTGTCATTTTGTGGCAGCGTTCGTCGCGATTGGATGGGTTGGCGGGTGGCGGGACTTGTATTATTTTTATAATTTATTTATTTCGGCGAGTCGGCAAATGCTGTTCTTTGTGCTTGACATGGAACTACATCGCTGGACGACGTGATTGACGCTGGATTACATAGTTACATAGTATTTGAGGTTGAATAAAGACATAAGTCCATCAAGTCCAACCTATTGTGTGTGTGTGTGTGTGTGTGTGTGTGTGTGTGTGTGTGTATAGGTGGCTGTGTCCTCTCATTCTTAAGAGTACCTGTACCCCTGTAAATTACTGTCTCTAAAGAAATCGTCCAAAAGCTTCTTGAATGATTCCTCACTATTTGCAGAGATCACTGCCTGTGGCAGAGAGTTCCAAACCCTAACCGCTCTACATTGATTACATTGTTGGACCTTTTTTTTTTAAAAAAAAAAAAGGTATTGTCCAAAACTGTGTTTGTGTTTCTTTGTTCAATTGAGGCCAGGTTCACACCATTTTCTGGACCAAAGCTGGAGCAGATCCTGAACGCGGTGCATTGCTTTTTGCTGTGTTTTTACACTGATTTTACCAGGTTCCGGAGCTGGGGGTTTTTTAGCTTAAAATTGGCGTTCAGGTGCGGTCCAGTGTGTTCCAGTGCATTAGTATGCTTTTTTGATGCGTTTCCATGCGTTCCAGACCAAACAAAATAAGACATGCAGTATTTTTCTGGTCTGGTCTGGTCTGGTCTGGAACGGACTGCGCTGGTGTAAACAGAGGCCAAAAGATAGCATAGGGATACATTTTGGGTCCAGAAACAGTCTGGTCTGGAGGTGATCTGGATGTGGTGGGAACGGGCCCTCAAGGATTTTTTTAAAGGTGTTGTGTGTTTATTTACATTTTACAAAAGTCTTTGCTTTTTTTTTTTACATTGAGGGTCCCCCCTAACATTCTTACCAGACCTAAAGGGTCTGGTATCAATTGGGGAGGGGAACGCCACGCTTTTTTTTTTTCTTTTTAGGTTGACATTTAACAACAAAAGTTCATTTAGAATGAAATTCTGAAATTCGTTATTGGAAATTCGGATCCGCTCGGATTCTTTATATTTTTGTTTGGAAATTCAGATGCATCCGAATGTCTGAATTTCTGAAAATTCACCCAAATTGCAATTCGGATCAAAACGAATGGAACATATCTAAAGTCCAACATGTTGCATTTCTCCTCTAGAACACACCAAAAATGCATGAAATGGCATGTAAGCGCACCAGAACACATTGGAGCACGTTTAAAGCCCAAGCAAAACCAAATGAGAACAAACAAAAACAAAAAAACACACCGGAATGCGTCAAAAAGGTACAGTATATGTGTATACATGTGTTTGCTGAACCGCATCCACATCTGGTCTGGAGAGGGTGTAAAGGAAACCACACTTTCCAGGAGAACTATGGGGTAAGTGTTTTTCCCCATAGTTCTCCTAATGGTCACGGGAGGACATATAATAGCGTCCACCCATGACCCAAAGCTCAGTATATCGCGAGCTACAGCTCATGGTATACTGAGACTGCCGCCGCAGGGGCGGATCCCAACATAACTGTTGAGATCCACCCAGCTGTGTGAGTGGCAGCAGGCACTGCCTATCTAGATGCAGAGCCATCTGTACCCGCCCTGTCCCCAGTCTGTTCTGCCAGTCAGCGCTGGAGGATCGGAGCGGGGAGGGGGGAATCCCTGCAGGGAGCCGTGAGTGACAGTCACGGATCTCTGCAGGGAGATGATCGAGAAGTGAGCAAGCGATGGTATGTGTTCGATCACTTCCAAATCTATTGAGCCGACGTGTGACAGTTTCATTGTCACAGGTCGGCTCGAACTATGAGTTTGAGTCAAAATTACTCACCTCATAGTTCTCCTTTAAAAAAAATATTTGACATATTTAATTTCCATCATATAGTAATTTAACTTTTATTTTTAAATATCTTTCTATTTCAATCTTAAACCATTGTCATTTCCTTCAAGTGCCACATGTAGCTTCCTTCCAATATGGCAACTTGGAAGCATTGTGTAAAAGGTTAGTCTACAGAATGTCCCCAGAATAGTAATTCCTTGCTTGTATCGTTGGCTCACTGGTTTTCTTGGAGGACTGCACTGAGGTACAAGTCAAATTTTAGGCATCCTCTGCAACAAAAATTTTATTTTCACAAGGTACTCTCTAAGATACTATTGTAGGATTGCATATTTCTGAAAGGGTGCAGACATTGCTGCTTTCCTCAGTGGAACACTGACTCTGTTTAGCCGGTTGTAATAAAGCATATCCACCCATTTAGGAATCAGTTTGGAAAAGACAGGGCGAAACAAACAGCTATTTCTTCAGAATGGAAAGAGATAGGAACCTGCAACAAAGTTTGCAATGTATATAGATTACCTGGACATGGTTGCGCTTTTCTCCTCTCCACTCTTGTCAGAACAGGGAAAGTAATTGTAATCTGCTGGCTTCACCACTGAGGAGTTAGAGCATGCAGTGCCAGGTGATGGGGGTCAGGAATAGCTATGACACCCCCTGGGCAAATCAGTTGCAGCAGGGGCATTCCACAACATCATTAGTCAGGAATGATTAAAGTACTAAGTAGCTCCAGGTATTCAGCCATTACTGCACAGACTGGTAGAGACTTGGGGAAGAGGGCACCGAGCACAGCGACTTGTGGATTAATCAGTGGCTGCACATCGTTTGTCAGTTGTACAAACTATTTTTTGTCAATGCACCTCAACACACTTTCATCGGCAAGGTGCTTTGGGGTGTTATTCAAATGGACAGCATTGCACCAACACATGTTCTGTGCATTGCGGAACACCATATAGTGAACAGCCTTTTAGGGGTCTATTCACAAAGCTGCCGTAGGCAGCCGAGTGAACAACCGACCCGAATGCAGAAGGAGTTCGACTCAGCCGATCCAACATCTGGATCGGCCAAACCGAACCTCCGGCAGGCTACTCGCTGCTGTTCGGCCTATTCTCATAGATGCCGAACAGCAGTGAGTGAATAGCCGAATGCCGCTGGGCAGACGCTGTTCTGTCATTAAGAAGAGAGCTTAGCAGAGTCGGCTTTCATATCACTGCCGACTCTCCTAAGCTCTCGTCGTAATGACACATGGGCGTCCATGGGCGTCCCTGGTTACCTTATTCATACCATGGGCCCCACACATACTATGACTATATCAAGTCCCTGGGTTTCCAGCACGTGATGTTTTGTTTCAAGGTTTTAACACCTTTTCTCAATCAGCAATTAAACCCCTGAGATTAATGGACTGAAACTCAGAGTGTGATCAGGGGATAACGAAATTAATCCATTTCTTTTTATTTGGTGAGAGAAAAGGGGGTAACAATGATGCCAGAAATCTCTATAAGGACTATTTGATATAGGACGTCTGTGAAAAATGAAACTTTTGTAAATGGTTGAATCTTAGTTCTTCAACGAAGTTTGTTCACGTTTAAGTTCCTAGTTTCATTTCACATATATATCTCCTCCAGTAAGTAGATCAGATCTGGTTATAGGTGAGTCACCATTCATGTAACAAATTATAATTTGTCTCCTTTTAT